TCTAGTTTTCAGTTGAACTCCTGATCCCAGTCGTTAGGTCCCTTAACACTTTTCAACAGATGATGAACAAGGTTCTTGATCCTGTGATAAAAACTGGCAAGGTGGCAATCTATCTCAACAACATTCTTATCTTCATGGAAGATATACAAGAACATTGTTGACTGGTTAAAGAAGTCCTCAAACTCTTAGAGAAAAACGATCTTTTACGCTAAACCTGAAAAATGCTTTTTCGAGGTTGATAGCATAGAGTATTTAGGAATGATAATTGCACATGGGAGTGTCTGGATGGACCCAGGGAAAGTCAAAGCAGTGATGGAATGGCCTGTACCTAAGAAGGTAAAAGATGTTCAAGCATTTCTAGGATTTGCAAACTTCTACAGGCAATTCATTGAAGGCTTTTCTAAAACAGCCAATCCACTTAACATTCTGACAATAAAGGATCAACCTTGGGATTGGTCTGATATCTGCAAAGAGGCCTTTAGTATGCTGAAGCAAAGATTTACTACAACACTAGTATTGAAAATCACAGATTCAGAGAATCCTTTCAGAATAGAAGTTGATACATCAAACTTTGCAACAGGAGCAGTACTTGAGCAGAAAGACAAGGATGGTAGATGGCATCCAGTATCCTTCATATCTAAGTCACTAATGAGCACAAATGGAATCATGAGATCTATAATAAAGAACTCTTGGTGATCTTTTGGCGTGATGCAGCATCCCGGTGGCTTTTGGCCCACCGGAGACACCCTAAAAATACATTTGTTCGGTTTGAAAGACCGCTAAATCCTAATAAGATGAGTTGGAAGATGGGTAGAGAGAAAGGAAAAAAGGGGAGCAATTCAGGGCGCAATTGTAGAGGCATGAGGTGCATTTCGTGCAAACAGGAGAGCAGCAAGGAGGGTAGGATGCTTGCAAATGTAAGCCTGGAAGGTGTCCGAGGACCAACGACCACTGGCTTGTATTAGAGCTGGGGTCATGCCGATTTCGGCCAGAGCGGTAGCACCACCGGAGCGCAGACTGTGGCCAGCAACATCATTGGGGAAAAGAGTTTGGAGACGGCGAATAAACCAGGTGCGAGTGGGAACGGCACCATTTTCGCGGAGCCAGAGTTCGGGCTGGAGGGGGAAAAGGGTGTCACGGGAAACGAGGTAGGATTGGAAGAAAAGGCGAGGGTCAGCAGTGTGAAGGTGATTGATGATGAGGACCTGACTGCCATGGAAGAAAGGGTCGGCTTTGTGAGAGGGAAGGAGGAAACCATAGGAAGTCAGCGTGAAGGTGACGGTGTATCACAGAGTGAGTTTGTGGAAGTCACGCAAACAGACTGAGTCAGGCCAGACAAGCTCGCCCAGGCGAAGGAGTGCATGGAAACCGGTGAGTAATTGAGCAAGGAACAAGTGGTCATCGTGAGAGGGGGTGGTGGGCGACTGGGCAATAGCAAATTGGATGTCGGAGGTAGTAAGGGCACGTTTGCGGTGAATTGACGATCCACGGAGACACATACAACCATGGAGGGTACGAGAGACAAGGGGGCACTTCCGGATTTGGCGGACACTGGGAAAGTAGGGCTCAAGGTTGCTGCAAATGCCGGAGAGGTAAGAGTCGACGAAATCAGGTTTGATGAAGGAAGACATGTAGACAGCATAAAAACTGAAAGTGTCAGGAGTAGGCTCAATAGGAAAGTTATGTGAGCAACAAAAAGTGAGATAAGAGTTGAGGGCGGAGGAGTAGGTGTCCTGAGTAGACTGGTCAAGAGCATGACCAAGAGCAATGGCTCGCTCATGCACGAGACGGTCAAGCAGCCACGGGTTGTGGAAAGGCTGACGTGACCGCCGAAGATCAAAAGTCATGATAACACAACCCCCAGTGCAGATTGAGGGGGGATAAAATGGAAGATGTTAAGGCCGGGGACTAACGATTTTGCATAATCAAACTGTTGGTGAGAGAGTGCGTCTACGATAGTGTTCTGTGATCCAGGGAGGTGCTGGACACGGAAATCAATAGCATGGGCAAGTGAAACATCAATGGCAGAACACAGAATAGGATTGTAAGGTGGTTGAGCACGAAGGGAGTTGAAAATGTGGACGGTGTTGGAATTATCCAAAAAAATACCAAGTTGTTGAGGAGGGCCAGTCTGACCATTCATATGACAGACACACACTCAGTGAATGGAGACAATATTTGGATGGCAACTGTCACAAAGTAGATATTTGGACCAATCACCAAAACTTGACTTATTTTCATCAAGCCCAGAGGTTGACAAGACAACAGGTGAGATGGTCATTGTTCCTTACAAGGTTCAACTTCATCCTGACCCATAAGCCTGGTCAACAAATGAAACATGCAGATGCACTGTCCAGGAGGCCAGATCATAAAGAGGGAGTGTAACTTGATAATTGCAATAAAACGATACTGAAAAAAGAATATTTTGCATTGTGCACATTTCAACCAGACCATGACACCTTAGTAGATGACAAAGAGGTGCTCCAAAAGATATGCAAGGCACTCAAGGACAATGAACTCATGAAGACATATCATGATTTGATGATTAGGGGGCTATGCATTACATTCAAAGTTGGTGACAAATGTTTGTTGGATGCTTCAGACCTGAAGCTACAGATATATAACCAAAAGCTCTTTCCAAGACACTATGGACCTTTCAAGATAGTGGAACAACTAGGGCTGGTTACATTTAGACTAAAACTTCCTAACTCTTACAGAGTACATCTAGCATTCCACTTATCCTATCTACATGTCTTCAAGGAAGACAAAATTCCTGGATGAAAGCAGAAACCTTCATCTCCAGTCATAGTCAGAGGCCAAACTAAATATGAAGTCGAGAAGAGAGTTGATGCAGGACTTGATAATAATAACAAAATTATGTATTGAGTACACTGGAAAGGATACACAGAAGATGCTGATGCTTGGGAACCACTCAAGGCACTCAAAAAGGTTCAGGAACTGGTCAATGAATTCCATAAGAAACATCCAAAAGCTCCTAGGCCTATATCAAATGTTAATGATCAGTCAGATAACATATTGTTCCAACATTCAAGAATCAACATATATGACAAAGATAGTGAAAATTGGGGATATAGATGCCTCCAACCCGAACCACTTATCTTCAAAAAGACCAAGAATTTTGTATTTCTACCCAAGCAAGGCTCAGAATAAGCAGTGGGATTTGATCTGGCAGCTGTAGAAGAAATTATCATTGAACCAGGAACAAGTAGTTTAGTCAGAACAGGTCTCAAATGTGTTATTCCTCCTCATAGCTATGAGCATGTCACACCTTGCAGTGTTAAGGGACCTAATGACTGAGGATCAGGAGTTTGACTTAAGATTGATACTGATACTGATACTGATACTGATACTGATATTGATACTGATACATGTAAGGCTGATGCGCTATACTTGTACTAGACTTGTAGACTGAGCCACTGTAATTAACAGTGGTTTGAGAGCATATACTGGTTGAAGCAGGGCTTCAGACTAAAGACTTGAATAGACAATTGAGTCTATTACTA